CACATGGCTCATGTCACAGGGCAGGGCGATGCTTCAAGCTACCCATGCATCCTCCCATTTCTGGACAATGCTAAGGGGTGAAATTATCTTTCCCCCCAGATTAATTTGGGCAGCGCAGCCAATGCTGTTAAGGGAACAGCACTACCTGGTAGGCCTGTGTGAAGCGGCTAGTATTTGCTTTGGATTCAGATTCGGCCGATTCGGGGCACAGTGATTCGATTTGGCCCATCCCCCGCCCCTCTCCCAGCCCGGCAATGGCCGCCCCGCCCGCCCCAGCTCCCAGCACTTGGGGGAAAAAAAGCCCCGGTTCAGCAGATGCAGCCAGGCGGGGGTGATCCCCAGTGCCCCCTGCTGCATGGGGGGCTCTGTACGAGCCCCCTCCCCTCCCAGCCCCCTTACAGGTTCCCGCATGGGTCAGCTCCGGCCCTTTAAGGAAAAAAACCCTTGAAGAAACCCTGGGACTCACCGCTCCTGCTGGAGGTGGTGATCCCCACTGTCCCGCACCATGTTGGGGGCTCTGCACAAGCCCCTGGAGCCCCGAGGCTGCACCAGGAGTAGCAAGTCCTGGGGTTTTTCTCAGCTTTTATTTTTCTTAAAGGACCAGAGCCCTGGCAGCTGTGGGGGTGCTGGGGGGCTCGTGAAGAGCCTGCCATGCAGCGTGGGGCAGTGCGGGGCAGCGGGGATCACCCCCCACCTGGCAGTACCCGGTGAGCACCGGGCCTTTTTTTTAAAGTACCAAGCTGGGACAAGCGGGGCAGCCATGGGGGGCTGGGGGAGCAGGCGGAGGTCAGGGGGGCTGGCAGGGGATCCCCCCCATTGTCCCCTCCCCCACCCCTAGTACTTACCAGCTCAGAGTCACTGCAGCTCCCTGCTGCAGCCACCGGGGACTGCCCGAATCATCAAAGCCCTCTGAATCTTTGCTGAAGATTCGGAGAGCTTTGAATTGATTCGGACCTTTAAATTGGTCCCCTGATTCAGTTTGGATTCAGAGATTCAGCCACCGAATCAGGCCGAATCTCCTCCAAATCGAATCACCACCTGAAGCTTCACACAGCCCTACCACCTGGAATCCCGAAAGGAAGCCAAACTTTTCCAGCCCTAACACATCCCAGTCTGCACATAGGGAAGTCTCCTTCATGCACCTGTGGCTTGTCTACATTGCACTGACCATGTGTCCTGCTACCATACCCACCCACACACGCAGACATGCTCTGAACCTGGCTGTTTGCCAGCGAGGTTCATCTCCAGTGGCTGCTTTCAGACCCACCAGAGACCAAGGGCTCAAGACCAAGTGCAGAGGGATGGGACCAGAGTAGCCTCACATGGGTTCAGAGGGTGGCTTTGGTTGGGGTGAGCTCAGACTCCTTGCCACAGGGTAGGCAAGACCTGTATGCTCCCATAGCCAAAGTGCCCGAGTACCTGCCCAGGCTGCAGGCCAGGCTTGCCAGCATACTGTAAACTCCATGGTGCCAAGGCATCACTGCTCTTGGGGCTTGAGCTTAATTAAAAGTACCACAGGTATATCCAGGATAGAATGACTCTAGTATTGCCGCCACTACTGTTAATGCATTTTATCAATGAGTGATTGAAGCAAAATACATAAACCCCACTGGGTCCACAATCCAAGGCTCTCCCCTCCCACCAGAACACCTGCCTACCTCCATTGCAGACTCCAATGCATTTTGCACTTCTTTCTGCTCAGTGGCTCACCTTTGACATGAAAGGAGGCCTCAGCCTAGCTTGTTCAACAGCTTGGTGGTTGGGGTACAGTCCTGGGAAGAGGGTGATGTGGGTTTAAACCCCATCTGGCTGAGGAGGATCTAGAATTCATGTCTTCTATTTTTTTGGGCAACGCTCTAACCCCTAGGCTGTCGGACAACCTACGTGTGGGTCCTCCTCTCGGTTTGAATCCTGAGATGATGGAGGCACGTAATGTGAGCCCCGAGGGGCAGGAGTTCACTTCTGAGCCACCATCTCTTAATTGGTTGCCTGCAAGTGACTCCTTGCTCAGTGCATACATGCTCTGGAGGTGCCTAAGGGTGTCCATTGACAGCAGAATGGGAGAGGAGCTTTGTGTCTCCCCAGGCAGAACAGGATTGCACTCCTGAAGTAAGAGGCATACTTTTTAGACAAGTGGTTGCTTAGCCTTTGAAGTTCAGTAGACAAAGCAGGATCTGGGCCTCAGAGTCCAAACCCTGTACAATTTCAACTTCATTTTTTCCCTGGGAAGGAAAAGAAAATATGCATATGTTCCCTAGTGCTTTTGTGAAACTCAACCCTTCCCAGCTGTCTCATCCTCCAGATTTGCACTGCACAACACGACACTGGGTAAAAATGCTGCAGCCGATGTAAATCCCTGTGTAGTTAAATAACAATAGGAAATTTCTCTTGTACTGAAGAACAGGAGAGGGGCTAGGCACTACCAAAACCCGCAGGAATAGCACTACTCTCTAAGGAGAGGGAAATGTAAAACATGATTACACTGTACTTGTACTTTATAATATACTCTAGTTTCTAATATATGGGGCAGAGATGTCACAGCCCTGAACAACAGTCTGGCTATGTCATAGAAATCCCTAAACTCAATAATGTAGCATCACTGAGTGCATCTACACGTTCAATTAGTGTGATGCAATAAACTCCAGTGCAGTTTGCGCCGGAGTTAATAGCTCCTGGGCACATCATCTATATGTGTGCCTGGGACTGCAGAAGTTTGAACCAGGGCACAGCAACCCCAGGCTGGCAGCAGGTTCAGGGGTCAGCCCTGGGCTCTAGGTCATGGCTTTGGGCGGCAGAGGGGCTGGCTGGAGCATGAGAGCGCCCAAAGAGTGGAGCCATGTGGCTAAACAGCAGGCAGGCATTTACGCACACATTTAGGTGCAGTTATTTTTGCTGCCATAAGATGTTACTTGTCCCCAACGGTACTATCTTACAGCAGCAAAAATTAGTTTGCTGCAGTCTGATACCATCACACATGCAGCCTGTGACACTTTACACTGCAGCCAATTAGCTTACTGCTCAGTTAAGCACCTGCTCCATGAGTGACTGGTGCCACCTGAATCTGGGGGGGCACCTGCAGAAGCTGATGACAGCGGTGGCCCTGTCAGGGGGGGCACCAGCTCTACCAACAGCATCGGTGTCAGCCATTGGGGGGGCACCTGCACCCCTGTGCACCTCCTACCAGTTGCCTATGACCCACTCTATCCCAGAAATGCAAATGCCTCATAATACAGAGCAGCTGTCACAGCAAGATCTGTGTCCTCTAGCCCCAGTGACTGTCACTTACATATATATCAGTGCCCCATAATGTACAGCCAACATGCCACACATATATCAGTGCTCTATAACATGTCACTGCCATGCCACAGAAACGCTGGTGCTCATTTAGGGTAGTGCTGCTACATCACAGAATGATCAATCCCTTATCAGGCACAGTTTAGGACTGAGAAAGGTCAATGTTGCATAGCACAGCACTAAGCACCACAGACAGATATGTCAGTGCCACCTTAGAGCACAGATGCCTCTCACAAATGGCATGCCACGCAAAGCAATGTTGGCACATTTGTGCCCCGGGTGTTAAAGCTCAGATATACATACATACCTATGCCCCACAAGGCAACAATGCTATCTCAGAACTGTCAATGCCTCATCACACTGTACTGCTACATCACAGAAATCTCCGTGGGCCACAGTGCGTTTCAGCAGTAGTAATGCCACTGACTTGTTCTAGAGCTGGTGCTTGGTCCCTGCTCCTGCCTCTTAAATTAGTGAAATGGGGTGAATTATCTCTTTCACAAGAGGGGAGAGGGGAGGACACTCCATGCGCATGTCAAAAGAGGGGACAGTCTCTATGCCTCCAATGATACCAGAGATCTGCTGCCGACTACAGACATCAGTAGGGTGGTCATCATAGAGGACATGCCGGTTTTCTGTTACTCTGTCCCCAAGAGAAAAAAAGAGGACTTAAAGGCATCAGGTTTTGTATCAATAGAGGACAGAGGACAACTGGACTGTTCTCTATGATGACCACCCTAGACACCAGTGGGGGGAGCAGCCCCCACCCTGCTAGGAGGCGACTGCTACTGACAGCGCTTAGTGTACATTTATTGCCTCCTTTGATTGTCATATACCCCTCTCCACCTCCCCTGTCCTGTTTCTTGTCGCCTGCCCTTCTCTAACTTCATTCTTGCCTTAAAGGAGCTGTCTGGGAGAGGGACACTCTTTTCTGGCCTGTTTGTAAATCAAGGAGCACAGTATGGACCGGACTCCTGACAGGTGCTTCCGATGTTACTGAAACGCAAGCACATAAACTGCAAGTCCCTATAATAACTGCCCCCCACCCCAGCAGGCAGTGTGCTGCCAAGTGTATGAGCCAGCAGCTGGGACAGGGGCTGATCTTGCCATGTGTACCTTGAAGCAAGAGAGCGGCGAACAGCACAGAACACCTGCCCTCCATCACACTCCCTCCTCCTGGCACCGAGTGCTCGTGTTTGGATTCAAAGCACAGTAACAATGCGTCAAACACATTTCAACATGTTGTTATTCCCAGGCCGACTTTCAAGATCCTCTTTCTATTCCTTCTGTACTGATTGCCCTTGTTTCTCTTGGCTCCCGGCTCTGGTTTTTCAGGGTTCATTAACTAGAATTTATTAGCTCCTTTAAACAATCTTTCCTGTGAAGGGAAAGCAAGCAAGCAAGACAAAGCTAGAAAGAAAGGAAGACTATTTTCTAAACTGCTTCCTATGAGTGTCTGGTCCCAGCTCTGAACACCCCTTTCCTGAGGGAACTGGCATAGTCTTCTTGGGTGCCTCCGCGGCTATTGTGCCTTTCCCCCTCGGAGTCGCTCTGCTGTCAGCTTTGAATGCAATTTCCCTCTTTCTCCCTCCAAGGCTGGAGGCAGGGAGGAAGTGCGAGGAGCCAGGAATGCAGTCCCTGCTGACAGACAGCTGTCAGGGAGCCCCTCCTCAGAGGGGAGTCCCCGGATATGGTGCTTCTTCAAAGTCAGATGAATTGGAGCATCTGCTCTCCCTGGAAGCTCCCTGGGGCTGTGGCACTGATTGTGCTTATAACGCCTTTGTTCTGACGGGCTCACAGTGAAACATTAATGAGCTTTGGCTCACGGCACACCTGAGTCATTACCCTTGGCTTTTACTGGCAGGGAAACTGAGGCATGAAAGGGGAACATGAATTGCCCAAGACCACACAGTGAGCTACAGCTGAGTCAGGATGAGAATTCCCGACTCCCAGGCCAGTGCCATGGCCACAAAGCCATCTTTGATTGCTGGTGATAAGTGATCGCTCTGCTGCTTCCTGATACAATTTGAGTCACAGGGAGAAGATGGGACGATGAGTGAGAACCTGGCAAGCTACTCCGCTGTACAGGCTGAACGCAACTCCAGCACCACCACGGACAGCAGCCAAACCTGGTCTCATGCTGCAGGCCCACCTCATGCAGCAGCCTCCGTGCTCCACGGAGGCCAAATGCACTGATGCAGGGAAGTGTAACATGCTGCTCCACAGTGCCACCAAAATGAGCAGCACGGCCCAATGCAACAAGCCGCACTGCTCTGGAGTACAGCGCAGCTGGAGATACATCACCACTGTGCAAATGAACGTAGTCCGCTGCAGCTTAAAGGGCTGGTCAGCCCATGCAGCAGAACTCAAAATGTCGTGTCGTTGGAGCTAAAGTACTTCCATATGGCCCTCCCATTGGGTCCCATGTGCTTCAGCCAGTAATCCTGTGGGCTGTATCTCATGGGCATAGCAGTACATGAGACTTCCTGAGCCTCATCACATCATCAGTAGCCTCCTAATGTCATCAGTCACTCACCTAGAATTAAGATACTGGACGTTTTTATTCAGAATTTGTTGCACTGCTCCGTTGGTTGTTCCACCTATGTCCTGCCCCTATTCTTTAGTCTTTTGT